TTTTTTTTTTGTGAGTTTGTTTGAGTTTTTAGCTAGCTTTGCATCTTGCCTTTATATCGGAATGTTTGGAATGTTGGTTTGTCTATTCGCATTTAGCTTAGCTTCTTCCTTATAAATTCATATTTCAGTTTACGATAAGTACTTGGATACCACGACTACGTTAAATAAAACGATTCAAGGCTTGTCCGTAAAATATATCCTCGCTTCATAGTGTGTCTTCATTTGCGAAACTCATAGTTGTCGTCGAAATTTTGCTTCGCTTGTGTCGGCCGCTACACTCAGTATATTTGTACGCTAAGAATGAACAAGTGTGAACACTACTTTTTTTATGCAAATTAATAGAGCCAATAAGTTAAGTATGTTGGACAAAAAATAATAGACGCACAGCGTGAAACAGAGGAGTGTGCCATCTTATTACCATCAACTGACACTTTTAATTATTTAAAAGTTGAGATTGATTAAAAGTAAAATGTCTTTAAAACTGCAAACCAAGGAACACACGAGTTGGCTATGACATCGTGCCATTTTTGTTGATGAACTGATTTTTATTATTGATGAAGTAATTTTCATCCGAGTAGCAAGACTGGAATTAAAAACAAGAACGGAAATAAAAACGAGAGCAAAGAGGCACACAGCACTGGAAAGCAATCAAACATACAAACAGATGAGGAGCTAGTAAAACAAACTGACAAAAAAACAGAGAAAAGAAAAACGAAACAAAAATAGGAAAGAAAGAAGGTCAAAAGGTCACACATTTAAACCCTTTTTTGTGTCTTCTGGTTGCGTAACTACCGTAGACACTATCCCAAAAGCTGTGCAGGCGGTGTGCGCACTCTGATTACGTTGCATCATGGTTGTAAAACAAAAGTTGAGTCATTTGCATATTGACGAATTCGAGTGAACTTCTTTGGTGGCAGCGAGATAGTGTGAATATGCGGGGATTGTAATGGGGATTCACTGTCTGTTGCCGTTCCTTCGGAAGTTAAAAAGTTTGACGGGCCTGCGCGATTCCCGTCATTCCTCCGTGACGAATTCGTTCGTAGGAGACAACTGACGTTATTAAGGAAGAGTCGAAACTGCAATCTGCTGAAGAATCTCGACACAAATGGCAACAGTTACACTCACAACCGATGGCGGAATGAATAATTTCAAAGTCACAAATTATATTCCTCGACGCGAGTTAGTTTATTGGAAAATTTATTACTTGACGAGAGACTTCCGCATTAAATTTCACGTGAAAACCGATATCACACGAATCGCGAAGCGATGACGGCGATATCGGTTTTCAAGTGCAATTTAATGTGGAATTCACGAGTAAAGTAACGGATTTTCCTTAAATCGCATAATTGAATATAAATGAGAAAACAAACAGCATTACTTAAAATTGTTATGTTACGTAGATGCGAAACAATATCACTTAGCCTCGTTTTCAACTCGCAATTCCACTCTAAATACCTCGCTTCGTTAACCTATCAGAATGCAAGATTTTATTCAACGATGCGATTCAACAGGGAATTAACCTTGACATGCAAGCGCATGTTAAAGAGAAAGGGACCTTGTAATGCACGAACTTTTTCCATCATGCGTAAAATACGGGATTTGTAAAAGGAGAAGCCCTATGCCTCCTAAGAACGAATTTGTCTCGCTCCACGTTTAGTAAAAACGTACAGAATTTAAAAATACCCTTCGAGAATAGAGGAAACCTAGATAAGGGTTTTGAGAAACGTAACTCTGGAGTTATTTCTGCAGGAGAGAAGTATACTTTAAAACAAAGAAAATAGCACGCGCACAGAAAAAAAATATTGCCTTTTGTAACACAATGTCACCCGGCTTTGCTAAACCTCAAGAACATACAGATGGGGAAATGACACCTCAAAACTGACCCTTATTATCACATCGCAAAGGAAATTCATACAGAGATATCCTAATAAGAGCTAAACTTTGCGGGTAGAAGATTTACAGTGTAAAAAAGCTAGCGAATAATAGGAGACGCACAGGCCTATCAACACCTTTCAACGGTCAACTGCCTTTTGCTTTCCGGCTTTCCGGCTTGTCGCCTCACGCAAGGTAGAGGTAGCTGGTCTTTTCTTTTTTTTTTCTTTTTCCTAACCATTTTACTGCACTACCGCAGTGGGGTAGGACTAGAACGTAACACATAAGCGAACCATGCGAGTAGTCCACCCAATAAATCCCACCCATCCCACCCCAGGGAAGGACAAGGTACAGGATCAAGTGACTCTTTTCATTGCTCTAATTAAGCTGTCCTTCATTCAATGACGAAGATAGAAGATTTGCCACACAACACTCGCGATTAGTTAATTTTCCTTCACTTAGGAAAGTAGATTTACATCACGACTGAGTACATATAATAAATGTTCTTGCAATAGTAACGCTATGTAACGCAACGCACTAAACGCAACAATGGGCCTTTTCGCTCCCCAAAAGGGTCTCAAACATTATCACTTAAAATGTATAAAACATTTGTACCGTTGGAGCGCGTTTGAGCGCCTTTGGTCAGAGCTGTTAAAGAAGGATCAAAGTGGCCATGCAAATCTTTGAAAGGCTTCAAACTACGACGTACAACGAATTTAACCTTCTCGAAAACCGGTCTAAAATTACAGGCTAAAAAACAATGCTTGCGTTTGTCCTTGAGAACGATAGTATACGCAAGAAATACGTACAAACAATACTTCTACAGATTCAGAATATATCAAATTATATTTACCTATAGTGAAAGGAAAACAAAACGGACTAACCTTTACGAAATTTTCAGTCAAAATCTGCCGATTTCTGCCACTTTTACCGCCATATTGAAAAAAACGCTATCACAATGCATTGCAATCGGAGTGCGTACACCGCTTGAAATCTGTGTTAGTCCGTAATGTAACAGTGGAATATTCGGAGAATTTGTTGACTCATGAACCTTGGACTGCAGGTACTGTAATCCTGAACAACACAATTAAATAGACTAAATCAATAAATCAATTTATATGTAGTTTTTACTTTTGATTTTCCCTTATAGAATAGAAGTGTGGACATTGCTAAAAGTTTCTGTAAAATGATTGCGCAGCATGTAGGTAAAAAATGGGTGACGTTACTGTCTACATGTCATTGGGATAATTTTAGAGCGTCACGTCTTTTTCAGCGGTTTTAAGTTTAGATGTCATTTCCTGTTAAAGTCGTTAGCATTTGATTAATCCTATGTCATTTAATACCCGACAATTTTTGTCGTATTATTAGCAGGAGTTTCTGATTGGTTATATATACACCCCCAATTAGAGAGATGAAAGCGAAAACACTATCTATTAGACATTATCACATTTGTAGCCATTGAATCAAGTCATCACGACGGCAGGAGGCATGCAGTTTTTTGTAGCGTATTTTCTTCTAGCGCATTCCCCATATTTCACTGTCCATGCATTTCTTCCAAGGATTAACGTGGCAGAAGAAAAATCAGAAACAAAGGATCACACTTTGATCACAAGAAATGGGTTGCTAAAGACAGTTATATACTTTTTCTTCGACAACCCCCAGTATTTGAAAGATGAATCCTTGACTGATTTTCTTAATGGCGTCCTATCTGAATTGGGAGAGGAACCAACTGCAGGGAAAGACGCCATGAACACCATTTCTTCACAAATCAAGTTCATCAACGCCATGAACGCCATTCAGAGCGCTAATGTGGAAGTGGATTCATTAAACAGAAAGGCAGAAGAACATTTTGATGGCGAGCAGTTCCAACAAGGCGCAAAGCGTCTCATCCGATTGCGTCAAGAGCTCATAACATCCCTTCTGAAGGGTGATAAGTTCACACATAGTAGGAACTTGGCAGGTTATGCACTGCACACATTACAGGATTTCTACAGCCGTTCTAACTGGATAGAGCTCGGCAATTCGGTTCCATTTGATGCTTTGGGTCAGCCCGGAAGCGAGATTTCGGAAGAGTTTGTTGCAGGGCCGAATGAAGTGACATGTACGGGCTGTCTCTCAGACCTAGACAGAAATGATAAATGTGGGACAAATCTGATCACTGGAAAACTTACAAGCGGATATCGGTCAGGACAAGACGTGAGGAAACCGGTAAACGGAGGGAAGTGTAGCCACGGCGGAAAGACAGATGACAGTCGTTTTCAGCCTGCAACAGGCGGAATTAACAAAGATTCTACGTCGATAAAAGAATCGCCTCATGCAAGGTAAGAGACCTTTTATTTAAAAAAAAAAATGGCATTTACTAGCAATTACATGCTTGTAATTGCCCTTGTAGTGATTACATGAAGCAATTACATGCTTGTAATTGTCCTTGTAGTACAATCGTATGATTTAACTAACGCTTTCGGCTTGAGTGAAGATCTTAAGAATAAACTCGCGGGATTCTTTTTTTTTTTTGCTAAAGAGGTCCCTATAGACGAAGGATAACGCATCTTTATACAATTTGATCGAAAAGAAAGTGCGCTATCAAATTCACTAAACCCTTCGATGCTTTGTCAGCGACTTTCTTTTTTAGCACAGCAGTTAGTAAACGAAACTGTCTCGACAGCTGGGAAAAAGGAAACTGAAAGCCAGATCAATATTATAATTAGGACCGGAAAAGTCCTGTTTCAGCAAAACAGGTAGTTGACGTAATACAATGGAAAAACCACCAGCCTTTGTTATCGGAAGTTATTTGAAAGTATAAATGCTGAAAAGGGGTCAAATTAGAAGAGACCTTTGCTTTATTTTCCGTGATGTGCTATTAAGATTATGTAAACAAAGAATTAGTGGAAGACCGCAGTTTGGTATTACGCGTCTGACTTCGAGTGGGAAATCGAATCGAAAATAACATCCTTCTTAGCTAGGAGATGTAGAAGAAGGGCGATATTTAAGTAGTACCTGAGGTATTTCAACTCAGTTTCGCCATGTCGTTTAAAATAGAAGAAGGGTTCAGGTTTAGCCACAATTCATTGAAGCCACATGACAAGAATGACTGACGATGAGCAATTACTTAATAAAGCAAACCCTATATGTATGTAATAAAAATTTCAAATTGGTAAATGCTGTAATTCTATTTTTGCTGATATCTTTAAGGATCCCTTACGAACAATGCAATCGAAAAGAAGCCGCTAAAAGATCATATCTGTCTGGAATCGAGGGGACTATCAACTAGCAAATAACTTCCCTCGCAGCCTAACGGCGGAGGGGAAGAGAGACTTGTCCGTGCCCTCAGAGGTCTTTCATCTCAGTTTCAGTAGATCGTTTAACATCGAGTTCATGAACAGGAAGAGAAAAATTCGATTTTATATACTAGAAATCGTTCAAGCAAAAAATATAGTTTGCTCATATATGTAGTCATTGGTTCTCAGGGTGGCATAAAACAATCACATAGTGAAGTGGACCAAAACCAGTGCATTGCTATAATTATCATAAAAATGCTATAGCGTAAAAGTAAAGTCATCGATCAGGTATAATTTACATTATTGAAAAATTATTTTGATCGGAAATCGGAGTCGTTTGGTTTGACCCCGTCTCGTCTATGACTGATTTTGAGTTCGAAAACTGTACTAATTGAATAAGACTGGATTGAATAAGTCAGATATTAAGTCGTTGACAATTAGCTGTGTCTGAAAACTCGCAATATTAAATATAATACTTGTCATACAGCTGTTTCCGGTCTAAATCAGTACGCACTACATCTATTTCTCCTCTGGTTTTGGTCTCTCAGCCCAAACTTCATTGGAGCAAAATAGAATAGCTAAGGAGAAGTATAAGAGACGAAATCTGATCAGCTGCAAGAAAACGATATGCCCATTTAGCTATGTGAGAAATGATTCGTGCATAAATTAGCCCTGGATAATGAGGAATTTTAGCGACCGAGTGATTAATTAGAAAATAAAAAATGCCTGGGAAAAAAAGGCATATTTTTAAATCAGGGTTAAGACAAAGAAATGCTAAAGTAGTACAGGGTTCGCTCAGAGGAATACAACACCAGACCCTCGGATTTCATGGATCAATGCGTTACAGCTGAGCTAGAAATTTAAAGAGGCCATTGTTAGGTTCATTATTGAAAAGCGACCTGCATACTGCTGGGATGATCAATGTCCAAAGCAAACAGTTTTCAGAACGCTTTTCACAGGAACCTAGCCATGGCCTAGCTATTCATTGAATTTTCTGTAGCGCATTTGTTAAGCATCATCTCAAAGTGAAATTCGAAGGTCTGATTTGTTCTTTGTCACGCTCCTGTGAAAACATGTAACGATTTCCCCACCTTTTCGATCATTATTTCTCCTAAATATAGCCTGCATAAAGTCGCAGCTGATCTTGCCTTCGAAGCAACTTATCTTTTTCTAAAGGAAGTCCGTTCGACAGTTGGAGACGACAACTTCGCCAGATTTCTTAATCTGAAGTCAGACAAGAGTATGGCTTTGGTAATTGATGTATCAGGAAGCATGAGGGGTAAGTCCATTAGGGATACATTTTACTGAAGTAAAAAAAAAGGAGGAGGGGAACAGGGGAGCAAGGAGTGTGTTATGCATTTGTAGACCCTATTTTGCAGTGACACGATGAGCCCAGGTAAAAATATTTGCTAAAACAGTGTATGTAATGCAGCTTTGTAATGTAAAGGACCTGGCTATTAAATCTTACTTTCTCAAATTGTCCGCTTCAATGCATTATCTTTTCAAAAGTCAGTTATAGGTACAAAGCGGGGAGACTGTCGCGTAATAGTTAGATTTTCTTGTGTATTTTTACAATAGTTGAAATCGAGGAGGTCAAGAACTACTCCATTAAATTTGTTCGCCACACCTTGGAAATGAAAGGAGCATCCTTCACGTACGTACTTGTACCTTTCAATGATCCAGGTAAGTGACGCAAAATCTGCACACACTTTAATTTCGGAGATCATTCCGGTTTCCGCACCCTGAGACCCTTAGGAGTATTGCTACATGTCTTGACCGCAGGATAATATTCCAATCAATCTCAAGATAGCCATCCCCATCTGTAGTACACAGCGCTTAAAATGAAATCGGTTTTATTCACGTGCCTAAGAGAACTAACTGAATAATTAAACACATGCTGTATATATATGCAGGTCTCGAGGGTATTACTTCACACCATCACGCATCACATTACATCGCGCATATTACACGCTCGTTGGCATCCTATACACTACACCATCCTCATATATTTCCTCAGGTTTCCCTGAGAGTTCACCGTTACCCATATAGACCCCTAGCTGGAGAGAGGCAAGTCACTAGTTCAGTTCGTTTCCTGCCCAAGTTAAGAAATAAAAATAAAAAAAAACCAGCAACAACAAATACGAGGACAAGGCTCAAACTCCTACCTGGGAATGCTTGTAATATGCCAGTAAGAAAAGGTTTTCCAGGAAACCAACCATGCCGAGGGACTTGATAAGTTTATGAGTAGTAAATAATGAGTTGCTTCATAACAGCAGCTCACTAATGAAGGTATGTTGATTTTTTTGCACGGGCGTAGAACATCCTGATAAGACAAGACCTTACGACTGTAAGATGGTCCACGATTTACTACAGGGAAACATCCTACTTCATACGTTCATGGCGTCTATTTATTTATTTATTTTTCATAGAGGTTGGTCCTGTCACCGTGACAAACAACGCCCAACAAGTGATTCACGCGGTGAGAAATTTAAGAGCAAATGGAGGAGGAGATTGTCCAGAGTTGGGGATGACTGGTCTTTATCAGGCTCTTCTCCACTGCCTACCAGAAAGTGAAATCTATTACTTTTCCGATGCTGACGCGAAAGACTTCGAACGCGAGAATGAGGTTATGTCCCTTGCGAAGAACAAAAAAGTTAAGATCTCCTTCATTCTCACTGGCCAGTGTGGTCGACGCAGGCGCAGACGTGATCTGTCGCAGAGTGGCATTCAGAATTCAGCGATCGTTCCCAAAAAAATTCGCCGAGTAAGGAGAAATGCTCAAGGTCAAGCACTGTACCAGGCTCTCGCTACGGAGACGGGAGGACAGGTCTTGGAAACTAGCAAAGCTCAGGTAGCTGATGTCGTGAAGGTGATCGATCCTACTAGTTCATCAAACTCATCCGCAGATCTGCAAGACGTTGGATTGCTTAACGTCAAGGAATCTTCGGCGCAGTACTTCAGCGTAGTTGTTTATATTGTAGACATCGACAGCACACTAGAAAGTTTAGTTCTCATTCTAACAGCTGCTGGATCGCCAGACTTACAAGTAACTGGTGTTGAAGGTAATGGTAATAACATGATGATAATGGCAATGGTAATAACATGATGATAATGGCAATGGTAATAACATGATGATAATGGTAATGGTAATAACATGATGATGGCATTACTACTATCATCACTATCATTATCTCTTTCATTCTTATTCATTGCTATCATTACCCTCATCTTTATTTTTATCAATACCTGTATAGTAATGATGATGATGATGAAGATGATGAAGATGATGGTGATGGTAGTGCGGCGGCTTAGTCGAGCGTGTACGAAAAAGCCACTTTAAAAAAATCCTTATGTATTCCAGTATTTAGGAAATAGATTAGAGTGAAAAGAGATTAATTTCAAGTTTAAGTATAATGCTTTTTTTAAAACTTACTTAGTCCATGAACGTCATCAACTAGGCTATTTAATATTCAGTCAACTTTTTGTTTTTCTTGAAGGAAAATCAAGAATGCAGGAACAGATCATCAGTAATTCTACTAAACTTCTCATAAAAGAGTTCACCAGCTTGACAAGCGGCTCACTCAAGCTTACTGTCTCCTGTCAGGGTCCCTATTCATTGCAAGTCACTGGTTCCAGTCCTATAGACTTTACCTACCAGCTTTTGGACGTGGAGGACGAGGAACTAGGGAACACAAGGCGAGTGCTTGGAAATCCTCTAAGAGGTAAGATAGTCACAGAAACCAATCAAATGCTTGCACGTCAATAACCCACATTTTTTTGTGTGTATATATGTTTCAGTTATATAGATATATATATATATATTTAACAATTATTCCACGAGCGCGCGTTGGATATGAGATGATAGATAGCCAACTCGGCGCTACGCGCCTCTTTGGCTATAATCATCTC